CATGCACCGTATATGTATACATATCTATATATAGGAAAACTTACGCAAAGGTGAAGCAATTAACGCGATACCAACAAATTGGTAGGTTACGCGCAAAATAGCAAGCAGATCGAAACGTTCTTAGCGTTTCTCACGCACAAATGACGCACAAAATGAACTCACAGGTACGAATGAACGGGAATAAGAGTCTCAGTTGGTACTCTGCTGTGTCTAAAAAGCGCGCCCTTTTCGCAAGCGGAGGCTGTGCAACAATTCCAGTGACCTTTTGTGCCCCGTAACTACAACGAAATTGTTCCACTGGAGTGGTTCTTAAGAGAAAGGAAGAGAAAAGTGAGCCCCGTTATTGTCTGCTTCAGTGAGCGACACCGCCACAGAGCTCACAAGGGATGGGGGTGAGGAGGGATAAAAGGGTAGAAGTAAAGGTATAGGAAAGAGGAAGAAGAAGCAACAACAAACTGAGGGGATAGAAGAGACAGGAAAGATGGAAAAACGGTCACAGGAGTCCGAGGACGGGTACACTTGCGAGAGATGTTGTCGGCGTCTGTAGATGGCGTAGAGCAGGACCAGTATATCAGAGCTGCGCTGTCGTCGAAGGTCGTCGGCGACAGGAGATGACGTAGGGTGAGCCCAGTCGGCCAGAGCTACGATGACGCCGAAGGTTGCGAGCGCGCGGAGCGCGCGGGCGCACAACCGGTCGACACGAAATCCAGGGAGCGTCTCCAAATGCACGCTGAACGGCAGCCAAGAGGTATGATTCTCCCCACCGGTAGATAGGGGCGCGAAAAAGATCGTCCACTCCCCTCCTTTCTGCGGGCCAAAGCACGCATGAGATGAGGGCCGCTGCGCGCTCATGGCGCCATCTTGCTGATAATGCTGAAAATACGATAGCTCTCCCCCCCCCCCCCCCCCTTGAGACACCCGCCAACAGCGGCAAGTGGTCGATATAAATAGCTTGCCGTTTTAACGTTGAAGGTGTTGTCTTCGGTGGCTCAGTGGTTAACGCATCACATTCACCACGCGGAGGTCCCTCGTTCGATTCCGTGCGCCGGTCTTTTTCTGGATTTTTTTCATGGCGATAGCAATTAAAAGGACACTTCCGGCTGAACTTCACCGCCGGCATCGGCGTCGATGTTATGCACCACATATATATACGTATCTATGTATATGAAAACACAAGAAAGTAAAAAAAATCCAGACGAAAGACTCCGGCGCACAGAATTGAACGTGCGACCTTCGCGTCTTGAGTGCGAGGCGTTAACCACTGAGCCACCGAAGGGTTTTTTTCTTTATTACCTGTTTTTCTTTACAGGTGTTCACACAGAAACATGAATGATAAAATACACTTGAACCAATACTTGATCCGAAGTGCTCACATTAAAATTTTTTCAGGTTGCACAATTCCTCTAACATTGTTTGCCAGCTGGGAGGTTCTTCTTGTTGTTTATACACCTCAGTGATATACCGCATATTTGCAATGAAGTTCTCCCGGACAGGACGTATGTTCTGGTCAACATGTCTGTAAGCCATTGTGGTCTGCCAGATGCTGTGAAGGCTAATTAACATAACCATGTCGTATGGTATGCCGTCGTCATCATTCACACAGAGAAAACGAATGCCATGGCTTGTAATGGGGAGATCTTTTTTCAATGTTTTTTGAAGGATGTCCCAATGAAAGACAGCGTCCCAGCAATGAATAAACACATGGTCTATTTTCTCAGGTGTTTTACAAAGTAAACAATTGGTTGTCCATGGTACATCGATTCCCTTGTCCGCTAGCCACTGCTTTACGGGGAGAGTCCCAGAATGCCATTTAAAAAAGAAAGTTTTTGCCCCTGCTTTTACTTTCATCCTTTTGACCCTTTTCAAAACGTCCTGTCCGGGTCCTCCATTGAACATAGATCTGTACAGAGGTGTTGGGAACAAGACATCACGGAGATCCCTGAACAGATTTTTTCGCTTAACAGTGGCAAGATATTCCAGCGAAAAGCGCACTTTCAAAAACTCAAAAGACTGTATAACTTCTCTCAAAAAACCAGTCACATATCGGCACATATCACTGTTTGTAGACACAACAAAATCTGGGATGCGTGACGACAGCCTTACTTTTATCACTGTTTGCAGAAATTTGTTTCTTTGATCGCGAAGGAAAATAAACCGAGAGGCAACTTGTCTAATAAATAAATGACATAAACCGAGTCCGCCATTGCTAACGGGCTGGAATAAATTTTACCGACTTGTACGTTCCCACGGCGATTTCCAGACAAACACAGCAAAAATCCTGTGAAGCTTCTGCACATTGACGCGTGACATACAGATAACTTGCATGACATACCAGATCTTGGATATCAAAAACATGTTGCATACAGTCGCACGTGCGAATATAGACAGATCCCGACCACCCCAGGCATTTGTTTTTTGCCTGAGGGTTTCTGTTTCACTTTTCATATAATACGCGTTGTCGCGATAGCAGTCCAAGGGTACACCGAGGTACTTTAGGGGTTTGCTTTCCCATTTTACGTTAAGGTATACCTCGGGCCTCACATCCCAATTGCCGTATCAAAAGGGAGTTGTTTTATGCCAGTTAATTACACTACCCTTCATGTCACAAAATTTATTTGCCATGTAAACGACTTCACATATACCTTGTCTACCTTGGAGAGTACTGCCACATCGTCAGCATATGCGAGTAATTTTCTCTGTGTTCTGTAACCGAAAGCCTTGCACACTTGAGTTTTGAATGATTGATAAGCAAAAGGGTTCTAGGTAAATGGCGAATAACAATGCTGAGGCCGGGCATCCCTGTCTGATAGAACTTAGTATTTCAATTTCTTCACTAAGCTGCTTATTGACTACCAACTGCGTTACACACTGTGAGTATGCCATCTTCAAACCATCAAAAATTACGTCACCAACTCCCACATGCTTCAACACACTGAACAATACTTCATGGGAGACACGGTCAAAAGCTTTCTGTAAATCTATCTGCATGATTGCTATTCGTTCTTCAAAGGCGTCACAGATCTCTAGTTCACTTCTTACTATATGTATGTTCGTTGTGATGCTACGACCCTTTATGCCGCATGTCTGGTGTGTCCCTACAAGCTTTTCAATAATGTTCTGAATTCTCCTGGCTAAAACCTTCATGAATATCTTTTAAACAGTGTTCAAAAGAGTGATAGGTCGATATGACGTTACAGATTGAAGTTTGCTACTATCATCTGTCTTCGGAATCAAGGCAGTATGCGCCTGCGTGTAAGAGCGTGGCAGTATTTTTTTCTTTTTGTATGCTTCTACAATAACTTCGTATAGCGCAAATGCCACGTCTTCTTTATAAACTTTACAAAACTCCGCCCCGATTCCATCTGGGCTGGGCGTCTTGCCTGTACTTAGGTCATCAATAGCTTTATTTATTTCCTATACGCTGATAGGAGCCCCTAATATTTCTCGTGTATCGGCGTCAAGCTTGGACATCGTATCAAGAAAGACATCACTAAAACCCGTGGCCATCGGTACTCGTTTTCCGAGCAGATTGCGATAATGGTCCACAAACGCCTCCATTATCTGACCTTTTTCACTCGTCAGTCTGTTATTGCGTACTATTTCTGATTTCACTTCTTTGTGCGTATTTTTTTTGTCACCCAAAGCTCGTTTCGTGGGTGTCTCACCTACCCAAAGTTTTTCACTTCTAGCTCTTATTATACCGCCTTTATACTTCTCTTTATCTAAAATCTCCAGTTTGTTTTTAGTATCTGTTATTTCATTGGTAAAGGAGCCGGGTTTCACAGTTTCTTCCTGCAAGAGCACTTGTAATTGCCTTCGCAGGTTCCTTTCCGCCTGTTCCTTCTCGAATTTATTTTTTGTAGATCGTTCTATCGCATTCATTTTAACCTCTTGTATGAAAAATTCCCACTTTGTTTCCCAGTCATCTTTTTGATTACCGTAGAGTTTCGTGAGGGCTTCGGTTACATCTTTACCATAAGATTCATCTTTCAAGATATGGCTGTTTAGTTTCCACAGGTGCCAGTTAAATTTTGGAGTCCTGCGTTTAGCGCCAAGTGTGGAACTAATCATACAGTGGTTGCTGAAAGACACTGGTGTAACAACATATTCATCACAGCACATAATAAGGTCCAGTGATATGTACGCTCTGTCTAAACGTGCGTGGCTTAGACCCTGAAAGTGCGTAAACTGAACACTGCAATTAGACATACATAAACTAACATCTTCCAGGCGATTTTCTGCAATCATCTCATTTAAGAACACTGCACTTTTATCAAATGCCAGGGCCGGCTTTGCACAGTCCTCCGTTCTACAAACACAGTTAAAATCACCAAAAAAGACTACATATTTGTCACATTCCAGTAAGTTACTTATTTCTTCAAAGAAAACTTTCCTTTCACTGTCTCGGTTCGGAGCATAAACGCATATGACACGCCATTCGAAATTCAAGAAAGAAAAATCACACAATACGTAACGTCCTTTATCGCTGCTTGCTACACTTCTTTCAAAAACGCCTATCGATCGTCGTATGAAGAGCGCACATCCTCCTGATAAGCCATCAGCATGGGATACACAAATGTTATACATTGAGCGAAAAGGTAACGTCATATGATCGGTATCTTTCTCTGTCGCTATTTTAGTTTCCTGCACAGCAATGACATCCAAGTCATGCTCCGAAAATAGCCTACTCAACTGGTACTGCCGCCTTCTTGAAGCTAATCCGCGTACATTTAAGCTGGCAAAACGCATTGCTCTTTTAAGTTTCAGGCTCATTTTTTTTAAATACAAGTAGCTGCTCACCATACCGTCTTAGCCGAACTCCACCTATTTAGTCGTCCGGTGCACCTTCTTGGTAGAAGGCGACACAATGTGTTGTCAGAGGCCGGTTTTCCCGCCCTCTATTCCCCTTCTGTTATATTATGTTTGGCCGCCAGTCGTTGCCTCCGAAGGAGAGCTGCTTTCGGTGGCGGTTCTTGATTGCTCATATCACTAGATTCTGTTTAGGGGTCGTCTCGTGGTCGTTTGCCTCCCGTACCTGGTTCCTCGGCGTCGTGCCACTCCATGGCACCACCCTCGGCAGGTTCCTGGACAGTTTGAGTAGATGATTGGCTCTCATCTGTTGCAGCGGTTGCGTGGTTTAAAACATCAGTCTCCTTTGCGCTCGTCAATTATTCTGCGGCCGCTTGCATACACGCAGGTTCACTTGTTTTTTCTGCTTCTTTCACATCCATCACGCCTCCTGTACTGAATGTTTTTCCCGCAGAAGTCACCTGTGATTTCGCCGATGCATCCGCGATAGGTTGCACTCCCGCACTGTCAGTTGACCTTGGCGGTTCTTTCTGCAATCGCGTCATGCCTGCTGCACTAGGTGTTTTTCCTTCACAAGCCGTTTTTGATTTTACCGATTCTTCTACTTCGGCCTCGTCCATAGTGAGCTCGGATTTATCCATGCTCCCAGTGTTCAGTGCAGCTGCTGCATATGTCTTCGTGCAGTTCCCAGGGGCGTGTCCAAAACGCTTGCAAGTGTCACACTGCGGGACTCGACAGTCCCTCCTAATGTGGCCAATCTGCTGGCAGCGCAAACACCACGGCGCTCTTCCGGTTGCCACAATAAGTACGAGCTCTCCTCCAACTCGTAACTGGTGAGGTATATCGTCCAGCGTAACGTTAGCCTTTAGCCGGAGCGTCATGGTTCTCGTCATGGTATTCTGCTGGGTGTAGCCGTTAATTCGCCACTTATCCATTCCTACGTCAAGCACTGGTGTGTCCCTACAAGTCTGGTCTGGTCAGTGCATTTCGTACGTCCTCTTCTCGTACGTGGTAGAGCAACCAATGCAGCTTCAGACGGGCGTCGCGGTGGCTTGGGTCGATTATCATGCATTTGAGGCCTTTCACAGTCAATTGCGGATCAGCTAAAAGTTTCTTTACACCTTCAGTGCTTCTGCACGTCACTGCCCACACGTGGTTCATTTGATAAGCGCCGAGCGCAAGAACCTCGGTGGGCTGAACACGTCGAGTAAGTGGCTCGCGAAAGTCTTCCGCGTGATAAGGTCTTCCTTTTACATCCGCATGCAGAAAAACAGTGTTCTGAACTACATACCCATTCGGCAGAGGGGGCAAAGTAACAGCATAATCCTGGGGCATTTCAATCCTGGAACCGCGGCTAAGCTGAGCCACCAATGCCGCTCCTACGGAGCTCATGACAACACGTCCGCACGCTTTCGCAGCCGGAAGTGGAATCCCTGAGCCACCGAAGGGATTCCACTTCCGGCTGCGAAAGCGTGCGGACGTGTTGTCATGAGCTCCGTAGGAGCGGCATTGGTGGCTCAGCTTAGCCGCGGTTCCAGGATTGAAATGCCCCAGGATTATGCTGTTACTTTGCCCCCTCTGCCGAATGGGTATGTAGTTCAGAACACTGTTTTTCTGCATGCGGATGTAAAAGGAAGACCTTATCACGCGGAAGACTTTCGCGAGCCACTTACTCCACTTAATCCCTGAGCCACCGAAGGGTGCCTCCTCTAACGTTCAAACGGCATGCTATTTATATCTATCACTCACCGCTGTTGGCGGGCATCTCGGGGGAGAACTATTGTGTTTTCCAGAATTATCAGCATTATCAGGAATGAGCGCGGGGCGGCTCTCATCTCTCACGCGTATCTTGGCCTGTGGAGAGGAGTGAACGATCTCTCGCGTGCCCTTATCCTCCGGTGGTGAGGATCATAGTCTTGACTGGCGTTGGGCTTGAGCTGTAATGATTCTGTGGTAGTTATGGGGCGCACAAAGGTCACTGCAATCCTTGCTAAGCCTCCGTTTGTGAAAAGGGTGCGCTTTTCAGACACAGCAAAGTATTGGGCGAGACGCTCATTCGCGTTCATCTGTGCCGGTGAGCACGTTTCGTGCGTCATTTGTGCGTGAAAAATACGGGGATTGTTGCTATCGCGTTCATTGCTTCGCCTTTGCAGCAAAGCTGCGACTTTTTCTCTTTTGCGTTTTCATAAATATAGAGACTTTTACATATACAGTGAGTGATGGTGACGCCGACGTCGACGCTGATGCCAGCGGTAAAATCCAGCCGAGAGTGTCCATGTAATTGTTATCGCACTAACAAAAGCCGCCCGCGCTGGGCACGGAGCTCGTCGCAATGCGCCAACGCGCACTTACCTCCCAAGCGTGCTTACCTTCCACGCGCACTGGGCCACAAGGGTCAACTTCGCACGCTCGGCAGACCCAGTTTGCGAAAAGAGCGCACTTTTGAAACACAGCGATATAACAACTGCTACACTCATTAGTTCGCACTCCTTGTACCTGTGGCAGTAGCGCGCACAATCTCGGCAGGCGTCAGCGTACGGCTCGTATAAATAACCCTCTGCGGGCTGCGCTCCTAACGAACGGGAACAGTCTGCGAAATCGGCTTCACTCCCTGGAGTGGCCATGTTATTTTACACTAGTGTTTTCTAGAACTACGCGAGATCGGATTTAAAAGTGTCAGATGCCAGTCTTAGTTCGTATGCAGCAATAGAATTTCACTGCTATCGCATTCATTTATTCATCTTTGCGTTGAGACTGTGACTTTTCCCCACGATCCTTTTTTTTTATCGCAGGTTGCTCAAAAATGACACGTTCAGCGAGAAGGAAGTGCAGGACTCTGTGAAGAGTTTACAGACACGCAACCATATCAACCATCTCGGTATCCTGGACGTTTACGGCTCAAGATACGAGGTCGACAATGAGTCGCTCCCACTCGTGCGACCTGTACTTGCCGTAAGCGATGATCTCTTCTGGTATTTTGCGAGTGCGTCATAAGAGCGAGCATTGGAGTCGTTTCGCGGCCGAGCAGGTGATTGTCGGAACTACCGCCAGGTGGCGTAGCTTTGCCCACTTCCACTCTGTGGTCAACGCTTTCAGCAACCGCCTCAGGAAGACCACCGAAAGTTAGGCGTAATTTTTTTAAAAGTATTTTACTGATGCTTAGGCTCTACCTCATGTCGTGCAGATGACATCTAAATCACTTCTGCAAAAGTCACTAATACTTGAATAGAAATTTTTCTATGTCTGTATTTATGTTGAATCATGGGTACAACGCAATCAAATGGTTTACATATGTAAGTATTCATATTCTTCGTATGCTCTGGAGATGCTCTCGAAACATCGGTACCCCTTTGAGCGGACCATATTACTTTTTGGGCAACGTGATGATTCTTAGCAGCGAAAAAAAAAACTGTGCTGGAAGCCGTCAAAGCTGTAGAAAAATCCGGCAGTACCAGTGGACTTCAGTGCGCACCACAGAAACCAGGAGTAATCAGAATGCACGATAACTTTGTAAGTGTAATAGAAATTAGGAAATTCAAGTGGAAGGGAATAACAATGGACAAGTTAGGGTAGAAAAAAATTCTGGAATCGAGCAAGGCACACCATGTGTACAGTGAAAACCAATACAAAATAAATCACAAAGGGGACCTATAAGACTTCATTCGACATGAAATGCATGAAGAATAAAGACAGTACGATTGCTGCGGGTACTCGTAATAAACAGGTTAACATATCGCCTGCTTTTCCACATGCTAAAACAAAGTGAAAAACGACAGCAATACTCGATAATCACACATGGTTAAAAGGCAGCTCTGAGACTGCCTCTATACACACCGACCAGAAAATCACTTCAGCTAGGTTCGCACATTCCGTACTACGAGCTAGATGCGGAATTTGTCATCTTCCAGAGAAAGCGTATAAACAAAAATAGGAGAATGGTTCCACTTCACCCTGAAGAGTACATTGGAATAGCGTAATTTGGTCTTGTTCACATCACCTTCAGAACGGCATGCTGACCTTTTTCAGTACTCGGCGCATGCATCAACAATGCCGTAAGGAAACGAACTATTTTGAGCGTTACATTGGCGATTTCGAAGTATAATTGAATGTCTATTGCAAGCACATCTGTTAACTTCTCAATGCGCCGTAAATATTTCTTTTGGGAATCGACGAAAGGCCCGCTATGCCTCCGTAGGACAACGTGCGAATTTACGCAGCTGTTAGCTTTGTTGATGGTTCTGCAACTGATGATGATTAAACGTGCGTGAGCGCTTTCTGATGGGTTGGCCTTTATAGCGCCCACTCGTTCCTTCATTCAGATCTTTTGATACGTGGCGCAATTGTAGGCTTCTTTCACTTTGGTTCGATTCGGTTTTCGCCCCCAAAGCCTGTGCTAGGAATGGTCAGCGCTGATTGCGCTTCATTTTTTGAGGAGGACCGGGATCATTATAGATTGTTCTGTTCAGAATACTCGCAAGATGTGAACATTGGAGATCATTCCAGAAGAGCTTGCGCGAAGAGCAGTGGTAAGGCTGTAATATTCAACAACACATGTATAATTGCCGCTATCAGTGCCGCCGCTATCAGTGCCAGTGTCTTGCTGACTTCCCTTATAAGCGGCCTCAAGTTCCGCTCAAATAAACAACTTAACCTGAACACTTGGTCCACTCCCTTCGTCCGCGTCACGACCCTGTGACAATATGCGTCAAACGAGACTCCTTTCTCTACAAGATGTTCATAATGTTTCATTTTTCCGAAGCAGTTTTGCCAGATCTCGTGGCCTCGTTGTTGAACACCTGCTCGCCACGCAGTCGACTTCGGTTCGATCCAAATCATGTGTTTTAAGAAGAAATTGATAGCAAATGCAAACATCATATAAGTTGACACTGCCAGGTACGATTAGGAGAAAGGCGCACCAATAGCAACTCACTGGAATCTGAAGATGGCCACGAGCGGCTCTCCGTAAGCCTTCTCGATTGTCACGTCCTGTACCGAAGCCGTGGCGCTTGGAGAGCAGAAGCATACAGAAGAACAGCAACCACTCATATAGTCTGAGACTTCCGAGAAAGGTGCGGACATTGCAAGTGTGGACGCCGACCCGTAAAAACCATGAAATTGATGGTACAGAAATTAACTAAGACAGGGCTGGCTAGTCTGGCGCCTAACAAGACGTTATTGAAGCGAATGAGAGCGGACGCTTTATCTCGAGAACTGGTAAAACATGTGGTCGTCAGCAAACCAAAAAGCCCACTTGAAGATCGCTAAAAATATTGAGAGAAAATAGGGAGTTTCGGAATAGCGCACCGCGAACCCTTCCGGTGCGGCCGCCGCCAGTGCGCATGCGTCGTAATGAGAGTCGGCGTTTGCATTCGCGGCCCGCACGAAGAAAATCCGAAATAGTGTGCGGCGATGGCGGCCTGCAACGGCCCGCAAACGCTGGTTTCGAGGCTACGGTGTCGCTGCGATTGTGCGTGGTGGTTAACAGAAGCACAAACGCTATTCTAAAACTCGCATGGTGCCCACAACGCCCGCAACGCCCGCAGCGCTTGCAAACGGTATTCTAAAACTCCCTATTTACAAAAGGGCAACGCAAAGATTGTAGTCTGCGTCGTACGCTCACCTCTATAGCCGGCTAACGACTACCGCTAACGCAACGCCCGCAACGTCCGCAAGCTTTGCGTGCAGTATTCTAAAACGCTATATATTCGAGCTCACCAGTGCAGTGCACGACGTAACTATAGCCTCCCCACCATGCATTATATAGGCGTCTCTACGGACTGCCTAAAAGTACAGGCTGGAGTATTTTCACAGCTATGGGGGCTAAGCAACATATATTCTGCGTTTTACCATGATGCTCATGCACAGTCCACCAGTTTGCCGGTGATAGAGATGCGTGCACTTGCGGCACGGAATAGTTGGTCAAAACCCTCCTTGTTTTATTTATTTATGCCTTGGTGGGTATTATTCGTTGCTTTTGGTCTTCTAGTTTATTTATCGCACTTGGTGATAACGACTGGTGTTAATTATAGACTTCGCAAACGAAAAAAAAAATAGTGGAAGAATTGCGCAGTAAGATTGAAAATGAACAAAGTGCAATCACAGAGCTTTTCTCAAAAGATAGTACTTTTTGTCCACTAAAGCAAATATTATAGCACTAAATA